CACTATTAATCTAGATCGATCCATAGTTGTATGGTCACCTTCAAATTGATAAAACCGAATGGATAATATTGAAATTTAATTATGAAGATTTACATAATGTTAGAGCTTATACCCAATAACCCTATGATAAGAGTTCCTTAATTATCAATATCTTATTACCTTAACAAGTTAATATCTTAGTGTCCAATTTGGTTAGCTCAACCGGTGAAAAGGGGACGCAAAACGTTTGTTTCTTCCGAATTCGAGTCTCAAATTGGAAAGAAGAATGTATATTCTAATCATATGGTTTATTTTCGGTCCGGTATTAATCTAGACATCGATCAGTTCAGAACACGTGATTGCAAAAAAAAAAAGACAATGGCTTAGTAATGTTGGGGGAAAAACAACTATGAATGTCAAAGTAAGAAAATGTTGCCCATTATTTGGACATGGAATTCTTAATAAAAAAAAAATCCATTGTATCCATCAACCATGTGATTATCCTATTACGGCTTAATAATCTTAGTAAACCTAATATCATATCATGGATTATAAAAAAAAAAACATTTAAAATGATAGGACCGGTCAAAACCCTAAACCCCCTTAAAAAATAAATAAATAGAAAGGAACAAATTTAATTTTTACCGACTAGGGAGGGGAATTACTAAAACACCCTTGTTTGTCTCTTCGTTGAAAATGAGATCCAGCTGTGCTTGTGAGGGGGGACAATGCAGCCGGACTGAGACAGTCCGTTTGTTCTGTAAGAGATGTGTACCTAAGGAACTGTACATACACACACACACACACACATATATATATATATGTATAATATACCTATATATAATATTATAGTACACGTTTATGACAAAAATATCATATGAATATATGGGTTGGTTAGGAAATGATTTAAATTTTTCCGAGGACAGAGGCCGACACTAGGGTGCGGCCTTGGCAACGTCCATGCAGTCTCTCTCTCTCTCTCTGTGAATGTATACATACATGTACGTATATACACACACACGCACGCATATACGCATACAAATTGTGTTTGTATCCAGCTATATATATATATGATAGTGTGCGTTGAATTGTGTAAAGGGTGAATAGTGGATGATGAGAGTGCTTGAATGGACATTGCATGCATAATCACGATATCGTGGCAGGTTCACGACATGCTTTATTTAGCTCAGTCGCCAGAAGAAACAAGCAGCGATTTCATTACTCTTTCGATTTGAAATATCTACTGGTGATTTTGAGAGAGAGAGAGAGAGAAATCTGCTCGTAAATCATCTATATATATGCAGTTTATTTTTGTGCATGCCCGTAACGTGCATCCAATTAAAGGGGTTGAAGAGGAAGATATATATATATATGTATGTGTATGTATATGTATCGAATTGAGTTGTCAGAATAAATAAAAGGAAAAGGTCGATAATAAATGTGCAGAAGGATTTGGACCGTGTGTGTTCTTTCTTCTTTGAAAGAAGAAGATGAGAGTCAAAGAACAAGATGGGACTGGGACTGCCCATGCAGTCACTTGTTGGGCTTCTTCTTCCATGTTTTTATCCTTTGAAGATCGTGATCTGGTTATAACCCATCTTCGAATTCACATATAAACGAGCTTGATACTTGAATAAAAATGCTATTGTATAACCAAAAAAATCTAATACATTATTTTTAATTATGATAATTCAATGCATGTTTAAATTGAGAAATCAAAATTATACACGATATCAAACTAGGCAGGCGCCGTTTATAATTTTATTCACTTGTAGTTTACGTGTCAAGTATACATACTTGACAAATAAACATATATATATAAATAACATTTCCGTATATAACAAACATTCTATACTATAAATAATTGATCACTCACCAGTCAACACATTTGAAAAACTCGCATAGAGTCCAACACTTTCGAATATTTGTATACAACAAAAATAAAATGTATTTCTATCTTGACTCAATAGTAAACTATCGAATTATTGATTAAAAACTGTAACAACGAGTAAAATACTCTTGTTTTAGGATTAAACTCTCTATATATATTATGTTACATTTTATGCTTTCGTGTTTATTCGTTGTCCCAAAAAAATATTCGTCCTAACATATATTATAATTTTGTTTAATTTATGTGATCAGGGAAGACAGACCGGACGTAAAATATCAGGAGATTGGATACTGACGATTAAAAGTAAAGAGAAAGATACGTGACAAATACCCTTTATTGTGATGGAAGATGTGCATTTATCGTTATAGAAACTATTTATTACACAAATTATCATTTTTTTTATATAGTGGCCACAGGTCTCAATAGTAAAAAGTACATCTGCACATGTTTCCGTATATAAGTTTATGAAATCATAGACGAAAGGAGGGTTATTTATTTGTATACGTGGTCGAATATAATATGACTTTCATAACAATTTGAAAATTTTTCTGTATTCAAATTATAAAACAAAATCATGCCAAGGCAAACAGCTTCTTACAAGACTTTCCTTTTCAATGTGTTTTCACTACGGCACATGTATAGCAGAGGAAAAAAAAAACATAATAACTGATTTATAAGAATGGACGCGTGGCATCGCCATCTCACACGACCCTCGTCCTTTTCAAATCTCTACCACTCACACCATGATGATGATCACCATCACCATCAACATCCATAATTAATCATGCTGCATATATATATATACACGTATGTATATGCATGCATGATGCATGTGGTCGTGGTGGGAATAAGCAGAATGACAGACACAAGCAACTGTCCTTTGACCAGAGCTACTTTGGTTCCTTTTCACTTGTCTTAATTACTAGTTTAGTTAGTTAGTCGTTGTTTACTTGCCCTAAATCTTAATCATATTTACTAAAATAAAAATTCGGTACGGACCACCTTTCTCGTAGATTTACAAAGAAAACAGTATTTGTGATATATTTATAAATGTTGGTTTGATAATGTAACAGTTTATACCGTGTTTATCTAACAAAATGATAGGTTCTAAACTATTTTTAAAATATAAAATTATATAAAAGGAAAGAAAAAGGGAAAACATAGTGTATATATCAGAAAGGTAAGACACAATCCCCAAGATCGGATTTGCATAATACAACGGATAATACCTTATTTAAAGACAGAGTTATACATGCGACAACGGTCGACGGTCTTTCAAGTTTGTAGTTGTAGCTTTGCCTTTCAACGGTCGACGCTCT